TATAAATGTTTTTATATATTATATTTGTTTCATATATATTTTATATATATATTTGTTATATATATTTATATATACATACGTATACATGTTATTTATAATTTATTTTTTTTTCTCTCTCTCTCTCTCTGTGTGTGTGTGTGTGTGTGTGTGTGTGTGTGTGTGTGTGTGTGAGAGCATCTCTGTATAATATATTATTTATAATTATTCTCGTTATGTAATATTTATAAATATACAAGTCAATGTTTAAAGAACGGTGAGCTAATGTCACCAGCTTATGAATTTGGTGTGTGTGTGTGTGTGTATGTGTGTGTGTGTGTGTGTGTATGTGTGTGTGTGTGTGTGTACAGGATATTCTGTAAGTTTTGACAAAGTGCTTGCGTGCAAGGGTGCTTTCTGTACACATCTACCGATAATAATCGGTGTTATTATGTATCATTGCGTAAATATTTTGTATGGTAAAAAGACTGCGCAACAACACATAATGCCATTGACAACTAGAATGTACAGAATAGGACCCTAGGTAGAGCGGACTAAACTAAGTCGAACTTATCGGACTCCCTGTATATGTGCTTATGTGTATATAATGTATAAATGTATGCGCACGCACGCACGCACACTTATATACAGTTTTATATTTTATTTAACGCTATATAGCTAACATTTCAATAATTATTTTAACTAAATCCATTTTTATTCTATCTAACTCGTATCATCCCTTCCTATATTTTTCCTCCCACAGAAAGAATGATTATAAAAACCTTTCGTAGTGAATATCTTTTCCTTCGATCTAACAGCGGAAACGCAATAGATTTGTCTGAAAATTTTTAAACCGATCCTAATATATTTAACAACCTGTCGGCTTACTTCTCGGTGAGAAAGCTTTAAGATTTATTAAAATGTTCTATTTGGCTCATATTTCATCATATAAATGAAGATTTCCCAGTTTTCCATACAAACGCTTCTTTTATCATACGAAATTACGTGATGTGGCTAATCGAGATTTTCCAAGATAATAATTAAAATAGTCAACAGTAAATTATCGTATCAACGTTTACAATCGAGTATTTGACATCTCTAATAAATCAATTAAAACGAAATTGGTAAAAATTCAAGCATATAATAAGGGAAAATAATCAAGAAACGCTCGTGTACAAATAAAAGACCTACAAAAGGGATTTTACGAACAAGCGTTTACGTCATTTTCAGAAAGTAAACGCCCATACACACTATTTTCTCCCAAAGGCACGTAATAATAAATTCCAATGTCAAGTCCGATTAAATGAAACTAAAGTAAAAATATATATATATATA